TAACCACTAAACTATCACATAAAAGTAGTTGGCTCTCCTACCAACAGTACTATTAAAAAAAAAAAAAAAACACTGACCAAAGATATATTTTTTGTCATACTGAGAGGCTGATCATGGTATCCACGAGTGCTGGACATGGTCTGAGAATAGTTACTGGATGAAAGCTCTCTGAGCACTTGAGCTAGGGAATATCTTGTTTCTGGATCCTATCAAGTCTCACTGTGAGCAGGATGCTAAACTTCTTAGACCAAAGGAGTTTAACACTGGGCAAAACTCTTTACGTCTGGAGATCTTTAAAATCAAAAGTTGTGGACCTGTGAAGGTTAGATGCTTCCACAGCCTTTGCAGCAAGATCAGGTAGGGATTTTCAGGAGTCCGGACTCAGGCACCTCCATTCCACCAATACCCTACTTTAGCACACAAGTCTTTAAAGGATCCAGCCCTTTGACTCTTAAACACTTTCCTGTCTGTTTGTACTTCACATCTATACACACCCAAGTTAGAGGAAAGGAAGCACCTTGGTGTCGCGGAGGACAACTCTAGTCAAAGACATTAAGTCATTCCTTTCCTTAAAAAATCATTTTATCTACTCGAAGCAGGGATTATCCCAGCATTTGAGCTATGAAACTATGAATAACTCTGAAAATAATATCCATCATCACAGGATAATGCACTAAGCTGACAATCGGAATTCTTGACTCACTACTTGGGAATCTGGACTCCTCTGAGAGGTTTGATCTTGACTCTAAACTGCCTGCAGTGAAATCAATAGTAAAACCATTTCACGGGGTGCAGACTGAGGCTTGCAGATAAGAAAATGCAACAGTGGATGCCTGGCTATTGACAAGCGCAGCTCTTAGGAAGTGACACAGTAATTACTGCTTCTATTTACGTGACTGCTGAGCACAGCCTAAAATTGATGACAAGCTGCCCAAAATATCCTGTGTAAAACCTCTAACGTTATCACAAAGTATTAGTAAACCTTCTTCTGCTGCCCACCAGAAGGGTAGCTGCCAGCCTGTCCCTTCCTTGGGCCTGGAAAGGCACAGCTGGAGGTGGAAGGGAGCGACCCTGCGCAGGGGGACAAACTCTCGGGAAACTATCCACGGGCTGCCAACAGGAAAAGCAGATAAACACGCCTTTCTCAGTGTGCCTTGTCGTTCATCGGTCAGGGCAAGCAAAAGCAGCAAAGAGAACAAGCCCCCAGAGGCAGGCTGCTCATCCAGGAACCACTTGTCCCCGTCCCAAGCTGCTGCCATCAACCCCAGCGGAAACGGCACGCACCTCACGGAGACACGGCTGCTTTTCAAACTCCCCTGGCACAACCTGAGCAGGGGACAGGGGGTTTCTTTGCCCAAGGGGGCCAGGGTGCTGCCTGGGGCGGGGGCCCCAGGGGGCTGC